TCTGTTAATGTGTCCATACCAAATATCACAGGTTTAATTAAATTAGGTATGATAAGAAATTGAAGCCAGATGGTCTGATGTTCAATGGTTACAGGGGCATAAATGATTCTTGCAACACGTTTTGATTTTTCACCAGTAGCTGTAGTTATTGTCGTATTAGACAAAGGAAGTTCTTCAAATGGTTGAATTATTTTTTGATTCTCTTTGAAACATTGTTCGGAAATACATGTTATTGTAGAACCAGTATCGATTAATGCTTTTGTTGGGAGATTATTGATTCTAATATCTATTTCAGGGCATTTAACTGGTTTGGATACAGGAAATTTATTATTTTCAGTGGGTTCATTTAATAAAAAATCTTGATCACACATTATATTATTTATCGAAAAATTGTTAGGGTTATTTAAAGAATTATTTTCGAGGATATTTGCTGTTGATATCGCTGTAGTTGTTATGATGTTGGTAGTTGATGGTCCTCGGCTTACATCTACAGCGACGGGTCGTTTCCCTGGCTGGTGTATGAGGGGTTGAAATTTGTTGGAGATCTTTGTTGTGTTGCTGTGTCATGTGGACTGTCTTGACTTATCATGGCACATACTTGTTTTTGCTCATTTGTAGGATATGGTTTGCTGTTATTGTAATAGTATTGATTAGGCCTTTGGTGGTATCGGTTTTGATCAGTGAGCGTATTGGTATAAGGATGCTGTCTGTGGTTTTGATTGTAGTTTTTGCGAGGATCATGTCTGAAACGGTTGTATGGCTGATATTGGTGTTCTCTAGGTTCTTGATGTTCTTGGTGTGGTGTCCGTATAGCATAAGATGATGTTTTTGGTTGATAGGCTCGATGGTTAATATCAGAGCTATATGGTGGAGTCTTGTTACGATGTGTAGGACTATTTGGTCGGTGATCCATATTATGGTAGTTCGCAGGTTTGCTCCTTTTGGGTCCATCTCGGATATCTTCTTTTTGCAGAAGTCTTTCGAATGCTCGAATTGTTGTCACGTTCTGTACTTGAATGCTATCTTGGATGAGTTGATCAAATCGTTCGCTTAACAGGATCACTATTTCCTCTTCAGTCATTTGTGGTGTAATAGACTGTAGCAATAGGACTCTCTCAGTAAAATATTCAGTTCTGTTGAGCGTTCCATTAGGTTTGTAATGTTCGGCTTCAATCTTGCTACGTACTCCTCTTTGTACTTCACGGCTCCAGTATTTCATGGTGAATTCTTCGGAGAATCTTTCCCAACTGTTAATGTCTGCCTTAACCAGTTGAAGCCATCTGGACGCTGGTCCTTCAAAACTGACGTCGAGCAGATCTTTCAGAATTTCAACAGGGTCGTTATTAGGATTTCTTTCTATCCTTTTAGCGTAGAACCGTTTAAGTTTTTGTAGATATTCATTTGGATTTATAGTTCTTCCATTGAATTTAGGGATTTGTCTTTCCATTGGGTCAGATCCCGAACATATGATTTGAATAGGATTGTCGTTCCGGATTGGTGAATGATGTTTCAGTTTTAGTGACTGTACTTCACTTTGTTTAGAGTTTCAGTAATAGTTTTAATTTCGTTTTGTTGTTCTTGGATAAGATTATTTTGTATGTGTAATTTAGGAACAATTTCATTGTGGATGGATTGTGCATAATATTTAGCAATATTTTCACTGTCGGTTTTTGTTTGTAGCACTAATGCTTTCATATTTTGTTCTAACTTTTGTTCTTGTTGTTCCAAGTTATTAGTTACAAATGTCTGGATATTTATTTTTGATTCGTCAATTTGATTTGTGATTTGAAATTGAAATTCTTTGTTTTCTTGATTTTGGGACTGTTGGTTAGCTTTTAGGACATTTAATTCCTGGCGAAATTCACTTTGTGTTGTTCTAATGTCATTTATTTGTTCTGTTAGAATTTTTTGACATGATTTTATCTCACGGTTTAGCTCTATTCGGGTCTGATCTAATTTTTGGTTTAGTTGTGTGTTGGTTTGATCAAGTTTAGTGTTAAACTGTTCTAGAAAATTAAATATTTTGTTCAAATCCGGTTGTTCAGTAGTTTGCGTAGCTTTAACTTCAGGTGGTTGAGAAGTTGCGTGTGTGAACGTTGGTATTACGTCATTGGGACGGTTTTCAATGGTCGGAGACTCGGTCTCTAACAGCTGGAAACTTGCTTCGGGCGTCTTCGTTAACCCTCGGATGATTCCGTGTGTCGATGTGGTTCTAATATCAGCTGACTGTGAATGTGTGCTTTGATTGGCTGCGGGTCTTTGGTGTACTTCAATAATCTCGGCCCGGTCCGTTGATTCTGATTGGTCGCTCTCGTTCCGGTTCAAATCTTCGACACTGGGTCCACTAGGATTGAAACGTTCCGAACCCGAACCGGTGTTAGATTCATCTTGGCCTTCTACATAGGTTAGGTTTTCCATTTCTTCTGTTGACAGATTTGACGATTCGTCTGATTCGTGTTGTTGAAATAATAATGCAGGATAACGTCTTGGTTGTCTCAAATTATAGTGATTATCGTTATCGTTGTTAGCCATTTTGTTTACGACAATGTAAGGGAACAGGGATATTATAGGACAAGTTGGGTATCGTTATAACAATAATGAGCTAGGCCTAAGCTTTACGACATGAAATAAATCTGTTTTACCTTATAGTAGCCTATTTATTTTTAGAATTACAAGTCGTTTAGTTAGTACCTAATATTGGTGGGACATAAGTTGTGGGAAATCGGGATTCTTAATCCTACCTAACTTCTTAAGAGTAGGCCTAACATACGTAAGTAGCCTATTAGCCTATTGGTATTTATTAGCCTATTTTAGATTGTCTCAACATACGATTATGAAATCTTTTGATTCAAGCCTATTACGTTGGGCGCCATTGAAATAAACCCTTAATATGGTTTGTATTCTAATCTTATCTTAAACAATAATAATTTGAGGACAGAGGTTTTAAAGCATGAGGTTTAATGGTACATAAGTTAAATGATTAATATAGGGTTACAAAAAAATTGTTCAGGGGTGGGGATTCGTGCTGGCCGAATCAAAAGATTTCCAATTTAAATTTTCAATGAGTATGGTAAATTATAAATTTAATAATCTTTCAAAAACAATAAATTAAATAGGAAGGATTTTGATTTTAATTAATGGAGGTAAATAGGGTCCAAATGGATGCTTGAGGAGTCTATAAGTTAGTCTGAGTTAATAAATGGAATGTTCTCACCAATCTTCTGTAATAATAATTTTCTTCTTAGTTTAAAGGCTTAAATTCTTCTTTCTTCGGTTAACTTAATTTGGATATTTTGCCAATACTTTACTTTATATTTTCATAATTTATTTCACAACTAATATAGTTTCTATGTGCTCTTCTTGAATAGCTAAACTGCACTCTCCTTTTCATTGTTGTAAATCATATCAAGTTATGGGGTTCACATAAATAAAAACATGGTTGAATTTTATTAATAATCTTGAACCCAGATGGATGGTGTTCTGATTGGAGGATTTGTTTTTGAATAATAATTTTGGATAAGCCAATGAATAAATTTTGATAGTAAATTATATATATGTTGAGACAATATGGTTTTAATAATATTAAAAATGGACATGGATAAATATTGAAAATATAACAAGATTGAGTTTGAAAATAAAATAAGGACTATAATTATAAACATTGAATTTTGAGTCATTACAACGTCTATACGTCCGCTGGCGATGTTCGTGATTTTGCCGCGATCGTGCTTGACGACGATGACGTTTCCGTGACCGCGGGAGGCGATGATAACGTTTATACGTCTGCTGGCGATGTTCATGAATTTGCCGCGATCGCGCAAGACGACGATGACGTATTCATGACCACGTGAGAGAATTATGATGTCTACATGGCCGCGGGAGATAATCAGAATTTTGCCGCGATCGCGGAAGACCTCCCGTCAAAAGACGCCGGATTACTGGAGTGCCGGAGTGGTGCAGTGCCGGATTAGAGAGGGTCTACTGTACTACACTAGGCCTGTTGTTCCGTTAATCTTAAAATCATTTATGTAGGTTTACATTATGTTTGCCAGGTACTTGAAGAATGTTGATGTGACGCCCAATGTACATTTCATCACATGTATGGCATCATCAGGAGCAGAGTTTGTATTTACATAAACATTAAAACATACTACCGGTACTAACATTCTTCAAGAACCTGGCAAACAAAAGGTAAACTACATAATTAATCAATTGTTCTTGAAACTGGGAACACCACACAATTCTAAAATTGATGTTATCTTTGACTATTAATACAACTTCAATATCTAATAGTCAATGATATTATGTTGTCTTATTTTTATGGCTGAAAACGGCCTTAGTGAGTCTTAATTGGTCCAGCGATCACTAAGTTACTTATTAACGGCATTTTACACAATCTCAATGACACTGTGATCGTCTTCACCAATCAACGGAGTGATCCGCAAGATCATCTATTGCTATCCCAGTAACATATGCATCAATATCTCCTGCAATCACAAACTTCTTATTTCACAACAATCTTAAGAAAAACAATATAATATCAATAATAAAAGGACGCCCCCAGCATAACTAACTGGTGATTGTTCAACATTTTTAGGTTCCAAAAAAAATTCTTGTACAATTAACAGATATTTTGCCAGTTATCAACATTTGCCTACAATTCCCAGTTGGGCGGTCACATTGATTATTTCAGAACCAAAGGCCTAGTTTTGATTTTAATTTATTTAACAAAACAGGAGTTTAGGGTTAGCCAAAGTTTGCATTAATGAGGATCGGATTAGAAGGGCCCAGGTGTATCAAAAATTAACTGATGTGCCAAGGTGATATTTAGAGCATCGGAGGTTTAAAAAACTTTTACAACCAAGAAATGGAGCTTAACTAAAACTTAAAGCTATGCCTAATGCAAATAATACAGTAGCCTATCTACATTACAACTTAATACAAACCTAACCTATATGTTAACTTATGCCTTAATAGGCCTAGTAAGATTGTAAACTGACCTGTTTCAAATACTTGTGCTGTGTGAAGTACTTGATGCCCAGTTCTTGGTTGAAGTGTCCACTGTACTTGCAGCCCACCACTGGACAGTAGTACTGGCGGATGACTGGGCAGGGGGGTGGCGGGGGCCGTGCGCTCTCTCGTCCATGATACTTTGACAGATGCATTTCTAGATTGGGGGGATTGTGAAACACTTCTCCACATTCGGGACAAGGGTTGTAATTGAGAATCTCAGACAACTCCGAGGCTTTGGGGTAAATCCTCTCAATTACAGGGATCATCCCGCAGGGATCTAGAAAATAAAACAGCATTTCAATACTGTATTAATAACTCGATAAACAAAAAATCAAAACCTCAAAATATGATAAAAATCTTGTTCTTATCAATTTTCAACTCATTTTTTATCCTACATGATGCCAACTCTTTTGGGTGTGTAGTTTAAGCCTAAGTTTAATTAATAAAGGGTAGGCCTAGACAAGTCGAGAAGGCAATGTTAGATTTAATAGCTTTGTAACCGACCAAGATCAGACACAGATGCGATAGTGGCAGATGCTCTTGGGCTGAATAGGAAGATCATGCGGAAGGTGGTTTGCTTCATCAGCCATTGGGTATTCCGCGGACATCTACGCAAGATGGGAATTTAAGTTGAAAGCCTCTTATCTAGGAAATGTGGAGAGGAGGAGGACTGAGGAGCCAACCTTCCACGTGATATTTATTTGCCCAGCCCTACAAGGTCTGCACATGAGATCCCTTGGCCTATCGACTGGAGATCAAAGGGAAGAACAGGGTCACCATAGTCAAAATCATCTCATGGTTCACAAAGGACCTAGGATTTGACAGAGAATGAGGACCTGTAAATGAGGGTACACAATACACTGTTCCAGCTGCGATGCAATCCCACTGTCACTTGCGTTTTAAATATATATATACACTAGCAGAGTACCCGTCCTTCGTACGGGGTTGGCATATAAGTATAAAATGCTTATTACAGTTATACTCAAGCTTTGCGTTTGCAATGAGGTAGAACACAGTTTGATAAAATTTGATTCTTTAAATTTACAGTAAAAACATAAACAACTGTAAACAAGACTACTATGACAGTTCTCATTGTGTATAAAAGTTGTTGTTGCTGCTTAGTTCAAATTAGCTTTTTTCATAAATGCAAAAAAATTATAGTGCTGCACCCTGTTGGTAAATATTATAACTTTTTAATCCTTTTCATATCATAGGACCAACTTTTTTTAGTTGAAACAGCTGACTAAATTCTTTAAATCCCTTTAAATATGATGAATACTCTTAAGGTTAACATGGGGAACTACAGAGCCACTGGGGCGGAGCCCGAAAGGATTTTTGAGATAAGAATATGCCTATATGTTAATCGAGAATGTGAGCTATCATCATGCCAAATTTCAGCCCAATCCGTCCAGTAGTTAATGCGTGATTGAACTTCAAACAAACACACAAACTTTCACATTTATAATATTTTATTATGCAAGTGAGAATGTATCACCTTGCTACAGAAACTTACTGCGGCAAAGAAGAAGTGAAAACAACTAGGATACAAGTTTATCTGGTATAAATATGGAGCAGTTAGAGTGAGAAAGAGTGAAACAAGTTAAGTTTTCTGTTTTAGTTATAGAAGTAATGACTCAATTAAGTAAAATAAAGTAAAAATTGGTTGTACTTCACACATATTAGTTCTTAAACCTGATTTAGGCCTATAAATAATATGGGAATTTTTGATAGTGAAAAACATAGAGCACACGTTTTTTTGAATTAACAAGCATTTAAAAACTCATATTTTGAAGGACAATAGCCTATGAGTCGGGTATAGAAATTTTGCATCTTAACATTAGGCCAATAATAACAAATTGGGATTAGTTTTTGGTTTATTTTTATGAATGTTTTGCATTTTTGGACATAATTGAATTCACTGAAGTTAATGTAACATGTGACTGTGTCTGAAATTTTAATTGTTTTAAAATCAAAATGGATATAGCATAGTGCAAAATTTAAGACAAGTAAAAATAGGTGAAGGTATTGTAGGTAATCTAGGCTATATATTATTAGGCAAGCGTGTTTCTTTAAAACTTCTTTTCTCAGCTTGTGTGCATCGCAGGGATAAACTACGCATCATACTGTTGGAAATATATTTTCCTGTAGATGTGCAGAATCCCTTATAGGCTCAAAAATAAACACAAAAATTAAACTGAAATAAAAAAAATAACATGGGCCTTATGGGTTGTCATGCTAGTGACGAAATAACAACAAAATATAAACAGAGTATCAAAACAAATGGAAGAAATTACAATCACATGTTTTATTTATAGCGTAGGGGGGAAATAGAGAAGGGTGTGAATATGTACTAGTGTCTCGGGGTCCTGGTCAAAAACCAATGAGAACCTCTTTTGCGAAGGAGTGGGGGGCGTGACGTCACTCTCTTCTCTTTAGGGGACACCATTATCGCAACGATACAAAGTGCAGCCATTGGTGTTTGAGGTGTAGTGGATAGAGTACTCGGCTGATGTCCATGAGGTAACCAGATCAAATCTCACCGGTGACACTAACTTTTTGTCAAAGATTTTGCTTAGAATGTGATTACTTCTAAACTATACACCTTTTGTTAGAATTTGAGGCATTTATAATTTTAATTTATGAACAGAACTATTTTTTCAGTTAGTAAGTAATCCTTTATTAGATTTTTATCTTATATCTTTTTAGCGAATTTCCCTATAGGGAAGTAGCTAAATAGCTACCGTAAAAAATTACCGTAGGTAGCACGGTAAGACCTAGGCCCGGGACCCAATTTACTTTTTCATTTTGACGTCCCCAGAAGCCAAAAACACAATTCTTTCAAATTTTTATATATGTATAATTTATAAAACCATTACCATTAGGCCTATAATTTATATATGTTATAGGCCTAGACGTATATATATATATATATTTATATATGTCCGTAAACGCGATAACTTGGGTAATTTTGGTCCGATTTTGATGAAATTTGGTTTAAAGGTGTACTGACCAAGGGACAAAGTAGATTGTTATCAAGAACCAGTTTTTTTCTATGAGCTGCAGACAAGCCAAATTTTCCTGGCTTTTGCAGCAAGTTAGGCTATTTATAAATGTTGTAATATTTTGTGATTTTCCAAATAAAATTATAAGCTTGGCCCTCTGTAAAAAAAGATCAGACATATCTTAAACTAACCTTAACAAAACATAAAGTATGCCTATGTGAGTACTTAAATGTAGGACGTTTAAACTAAAGTGCAGCCGATGAATGATAGAGGACAGGTGGATCCATTAACTTATTGAGCATTTACTTTAGGAGGTGCACTTAGTTTTAATTTCCTAGGAACTTAACTCTTATTCTACGCAGATAGATAAATATTTTTTCTTGTTAGCTGAACTTAAAAGATCCACTTTTTCCTTCCATAGTCTTAACCGGTATCGTATGAACTTTGACCCACAGAGGCAAAGCAATAACTATGTGGTTTAAGCTTAATTAATTGACTATTGGATACTGAAGTAGACATCCCATTTATATGGACCAGCTTACATCAATTTTTTGAAAGAACATAATTTACTGTGCGAGCCAGTTAAAGAATGTGCTAGAATTAAAAATGATAGCCTATTCTCTACCTTAAACTTATTTATTGTTGCTGACCAAGTTGATGGAGTCAACAGTTAACTTAGGCCTAGTTGCTAGGCTATACCGGTAACTTAAGACAGTTTAACTTGGTAAAAAGTGTGTGCATTCGACAGAAATAAGTAGGTCTAGACTAACTTAGGCCCTTATTTAGATTAGTGCAATATGTCGGTGGCTCACATCAACCTACGAAAATGTTGACATAAAAACTGGTGACATGGGGATATGATGGGTACACTTCCGTATCTGTTGTCAAAAACAACCGAACAAAAATATTTATTATTCAATTGTTTCATTCAAAGTTTATTCATTGTTTGACTTATTAAGTTTAATAGTTAAACTTTAGTTAAACTTTAAAAAGTTCCTTTGACTTACTTAAAAAGTTAAAGTTACCATACTTCAAAATCATTAAGTGTTAAGGACATGATAAACTACTCTGAGGCCTAATAGCCTAAGCAAAACACTTTAGACTTGGCATAGATTTGTATTTCCAAGTCCATTCGTATTTAGATATTTTTTTAGACTGGAGAGTTCAGTTAAAAATAAACTGACCCATATAAAAGAAGGTGTAACTATGGTCTGGATAACTAACAAACAAAACTAGGCCACTGAGTTTCACAAATCAAATTATAGGCTATCTGTCACAAATATGTTTGAGCTTATTTTACCTCCGAGCGTAGAGATTGCTATCATAGTTTTCCTTAGAGTATATTCTTTAGATATTTAATAAAATGCAAGTGATTTTGAGCCAATTAATTAAATTCAACTGTTAAAATTAACTTTACATTTAACCCCCAAACTACAGCTGCATTTCCCACCCACTGCTCAACTCACGCTCACGCAATCAATAACAAAAATAAAATGATGGACCATGGAATGGACGGACCGAGACCGACGGACGATCGGGAGTCGGGACGATTCATTCGACCGACGGACGAAACGACCGAAAGGACCGATGCGACTAGGGAATAAGGATTAGGGAATGAGAATCAGGGAATCAGGACAGGATGAGATGAGATAGGAAGCACTCGGAAGCAGAGAAGTAGGCAGAAAAGTGAAAATGAAACATAACTGGATGGATAAATTTTAATGTAGACTATTTTTTTTATGTTCAGGCTTTTTCATATAGCAATGTATATTGACTGTAACCAAATATATATATATAAATAATAACAGTATATATTTATATATAATACCAAATAAATATCTGCATGGGAGCTCGGGAGCTCCCATGCAGATACCAGCTACATGTCTTGAAGTTTTTACTTGACTTGTTGTTGTTGAGCCTGCTAAAAAATAACCAAGAAAGAATCAGAATAGATTCACATTTCACAACACAAGAACACATAAGCAGAAGCAGAGGAGACCGAGACTGAGCACTGAGCAAGGATTGAGTGCACAAATTGAGTGAGGTCAGACCTAGACCTAAGTAGGAATGGGCACACGGGAGGGACTAAGGCTAAAGGTGTAGTGACGTCATATCTCTAGTGGCTAATGTCTTCTCTTGAGGCGACACGATTACCGTAACGAAACAATGTGATTTCAACGGCGTTCTTGGCATAGTTGGTAGCGTTTCGGGTCGGTGTTCAAAAGGTCCCGGGTTCGAATCCCGCTGGCAGCTCTAAATTTTTGTCAAACAATTTTTCATATCAGCAAGTTTGGTTGGTTAGGTTAGGTTATGACAGTTTAATTTTATAATACTAAATTTTAAAATTAATTTTATAATTAATAAAAAATTATAAGTAATCATTAATTAGAATTTTATCTTATATAGTTTTTATATTATCAGCAAGTCTGGTTAGTTAGGTTATGTTATGACAGTTTAATTTTAAAAATACAAATTTATTTTATAATTTTAAAACAATATTTTATAACTAAAAATTAAAAAAAAATTAATTTAAATTTTTTCAACTTAGCAGTTCTAGCGCCTAGCGGCGAACGCTGAAACTACAAGATATGTTAGCCTTAGTCCTTAGTCCCTCCCGTGTGCCCCACCGGACCTAAGTAGGAGTACATTATATTGGGTCTGACTTCGTATTGTTACGGTAAATGGTGTTCCCTCAGCTAATAAGAAGCCCACAGCTGTCATCGTAGGCTCCTCTATACCTCCCCTGAGTAAATACCCATTAGATTTAGGACCAGACCCAACCCAAACCTATCGCATGTTCGCATCGCTATCGACCAGACCCAACCCAAACCTATCGCATCGCTATCGTGCTACTGCTAGCAAGCAATCCTAACCTCTCTGTATAAAAACATACTTTGTGTAGAATTATTTTATTCTACAGTTTAGCTTCAGAGAAAATCAAACCTATTATTAACCTGGTGTCTGTTTTAAAATGTGTGTTCAGTTTTGAAAATGCTTCTTCAATTTCCTAGATTATTGAAAGACGCAGCTTCTATTCTAAGACAGGTCTCAGAGGAAGATAGAAGTGTTAAAGACCTACTGTATAACGACAAAAAATTCCAGTTCAGTGTAAGTATATACAACCCCATCCACCATGTGTACGTCTTGTTTAACATAAAGTTATTGGACTGTTTTTGTATAGATCTCTAGTACTGTACAGTAGTACCTAGCCCAGTAGATCCCACTACACTACTGTAGGCCTATAAGGCTAGTTCACAGTTCATACATGGCGACTAACTCGCTGCGACTTAGTCACGGCTACCATTAGTCGCAGGTAGGCTACCACTCGCTAGTTAAGTATAAACTGAGTTCACACATGGCGAGATGTTGAGGCTAGTAATTCTTTTTTGAGCTGCACTTTACGTCTTACACTCGTTCGAATGAAAATATTGATTATTCGATTGTGTCTTTTGATATATCGTTTGGTTAGTTAGGTTAGGTTACCTAACTAACCAAACGATATAACTTATCGATATAGCGATCGATATTTTCATTCGAATGAGTGTAGGACGTAAAGTAAAGTGCAGCCATTTTTTGTGGTAACCTACCGTAAGTAATAAGTTATTTGTGCTGTAAAACATTTTGTCTGAAGGAACTAGGCGAGAGACTTCAAGACGTGTGTCTTGCGTATTTCTAGCAACTTTGCGAGAAATTAGGAGATAATGTAAGAAATAAAAAAGTCTGGGTTTGGGAGTAGATAGGCCTAACTTAGAGAAAAACATTAGGGCGAAGTGGAACCAGGTTTTAGCATTAGTTCAATTTAGAGCTTACATTTCTCAGGTAGCCTAATATTAGCAGGCTACTTGTAATTTTAAAATCTTTTGTACCATAACTACAGTCTAGCCTTGATATAACGAACCTTCATGTAACAATTTACTTGATATAGCCTATGCTAACATTTTTTTTATCCCCTAGAACACTCCATAAGACTCAATGTATATTTTACCTCTACATAACGAACAAACTATAGGCCCTATCAACAACCTTGATTAAACAAATTTTTGATGATCTCGGCTAAAATAAGACACCTCAGTATAACGAATTTATCATTGTCAGAACCTCTACATAGGGAATTTAACCTACTTAACAAATTGTCTGGGTCTTTCCCTCGATAAAACAAACTCCCCCACATTATTGTTTTTGAAAAATCACAGTTTCTTGATGAATATAAAATGGTAGCCTAAGATGACGTCAACGCTTGCGCAACAATCGTCTGCACAGTTTTTCACATCCCCACATATTTCTGCTGTGCACGTTACAACTGATTTCATTCACCGAGAACTGATGATCGAGATCTTGTTTCTGAAGTTTGACTGAGCGAAATTCCTGCAAACCCATCCAGAACGAACCTCGTTTTAACGAAATCCTTGCAATAACGAATATTCAGTTCGGTCCCTTCACATTCTTTATACCGAGGTTGGACTGTACAAATCATCTTTTTAAAAACAATAGGTAACTTAAAAAAAGACAAGGGTGAAGTGGCCTTCAACCACATCGTGAAGTTGAACCAGGGGGAAAGTGTAACCGCAGCTTATCAATCTACTAATAATAAAAGTTTCTGCTTTTTTTTTTTCTCTTTCAGATTGGATACATATAATACATATAGTAGGCCTACACAGGTAATTGCCATCATGTTGTGTTTTCTGGACCTTGTTTTAAGGTTTTAACCTTTAAAAGGTAAATAGCATATGAAAAAATGTACTTTTTTGATAAAAAAAAGTTAGGCTACATACGGTACAACATTTTGATGTAGGCCTAGCCTAAATTCAATGGTCAAATTTTGAAAATTTTTTATATTTACATTTTTAAAGTAAATTCAACAATATTTTGTGTACTAACTATTGTTTGCAAATATATTCAGAGTATACTTCAAATTTATTACGACTTAGATTTTCCAACCGTGGTTACACTTGCCCCAAAAACTTTGCCGGGGGGGCAAGTGGAATACTAGTAACAGTTCTAGAAGCTGAGAAGACGGGTTTTTTCGCTAACTGACCATAACAATACGTGCTGGATTAAAAAAATGATAGTATCGGTACAGGTATATTAAAAAACTATTTTTTTCAAGTGAATCATGTGCCCAGAGAGTTATACTACAACCACACACAATAGTACCTACTATTTTTTGTCATAATTTCCTATTATTGTAAAAATTATTGTATAAGTATTATATTGGTAAAATGGTGTTACCGTGTAAATAAATTGAATTGAATTGAATTACCGGTAACTAAGATTTTGCAATTTTACGTTTCTTTACATTTTACGAATTTTTCCGCAAAGGTCTACAAAAAAGTTTGTAACTTAAAAACAGATAAAGATATTTTTATAATTGAAAACGTCTCAGAATTACAGACAATTTCTCTATTTACCCACTTTTGCCTTTCACTCTTCTCAATGCAATATATTATAATTCAGGTATGAGGGGACCTCCACTTGCCCCATGGTGAGGAAACTGGAACACAAAAATACTAGGCAATTATAAGATTTTAAAAATGTCTGAAATGTTAAAAACAAGAAGTTACTGTATAAATGTTGTAAACAAAAATAAAAATGAAGTTGAAGGAACAAATTTAAACATACTTCTAAATGTTGGACTTACGAGTTAGTAATCAGTGTGACACACTGTTATCAAAGGTGTAATCAATGGCTGAGGGATCTTGGAAACTGCCAGAGATTAAGGGTTTTAGTCTGTGAGTTACTTTTCCTCTTTTCAAATTTTACCCAGTGTTGTTAGTTAAAGACCTATTTTGCTTGGAGCGCTTACAGCAATAGTCGCGTAGCCTAGAGATAATCGCTCCGCGATAGTAGCTGGGCACTGCTCTGACAGAGTTTGCGTTGTCCTGTTTTGCTTAGAGCGACTGTCGCAAGTGTCGCCTGCTATAGTCGTGGACTACTGCCCTGGGTACCAGTCTTGCGATAATCGTGCCGCGACTGATGCACACCGACACATGCGCAGAACCTCAAAACAGTGCAGTTCACTCAGTAAGCACATTAACAATATTCGTTTATGGGTTTAAAATAACCATAATTTACTGTTTTGTTTGTTCACATAATTTTTTTATTCATGTACTGTTACGATTGTACTGTTTTGGTTATACAGTTACTTTACTTTAAAAGGTTGCATCAAGCACTCATGACTTCACTATTGTGAGTGCTGGTATTCAACTATGAAAAATCATGCGGGGGTTGAAAACCAATCGCTCTAAGCAAAACGGCCGCCGCAACAACGATATTAGCTGAGCGACTATCGCTACAGTCGCTCCAAGCAAAATGGGCCTTAATTAATGTTTTAATGATACTACAACCCTACTTGTTTATAATTTTTTACATTACCATTCTTCATTTATAATTTCAGAACATTAAGAAATTATATGCCATAGTTATCAAAGCTCTTCAAAACTGGGATGTTATAGAAAGTCTAATAAAGGAATCAAATATTTTGGTAGAACATCATCGCCTCGACATATGGCGAGTCAGAATAGCCATATCAGAGCTCCTATTTGGTGAAACGTCTCTTCTAAACTCTGATAATAACACAATACAAACTGTAATTCAAAATGAAGAGCGTTTAAAGCAAATACTATCAAAAAAGCAAGCTAACGCATCTCTTGGAAACAACAGTGATGAAATAAGTCATGCTAAAGGTACGTTATACTTTTTAAAGTTTCTGACTAAGTGATCTCGTTTGTTGCAGACTGTCACACCTTTGGATGGATGAATATCGAGACTGCTTCTGAGCGAAACGTTAATTTATAACAACGAACATCAGATAATTTTTTAATCACATAAGTGATTTTATTTTACTCGTTTGCCACTCATTTTACATCATTCCAAAGACTGTGATAGCTGCAACGATAATGACTCAATCGAACGTTATCTTGTACTTCTTTTTGTACAGTATGGCAATGTTTTCATTCCCTTTCCTATCGTACTTCGGGACGTATTACATTCTGAGAGACTATTTCAATGTGGAAGGGTTTACTAACATTGTGTGGTCAGTGATTGCCAGTGTTCTAGCAGTCAATCTCATTATCGGAATGTACGCTTATAAAGCTTACCATGAGTCAGAAGAGGATCAACCGGATCAACCCCCTCCTGTACCACCAAGGATGAAACGGAGCGATCTTAACCTCAAACAAGAATAACTTGGGACTTTGTAAATAATCAAATCAACCATTTATATAGTGATAGTGAATAAAATATTACCTACATTATCTAGTGAACTTGGATTTCTAAATATTAGCCGGGACTAGTTCAAAGGTGTGGAGACAGATGGAGATGGTGATAATCATTTTCACTTTTTGTTGATCATAAAAACATTTAGAGATGGTAAAAAATAACAGTATTAAAACAAATAAAAGCTCTATTGTTGTATAAACAATTTTTTTTTACCTCTTTACTTTTATATCTTAATAAGAATAAGTAATTTCACTTCAGTAAACCACCTCTTAAACGTAGACCCTGTTAATAGAGACTGTTAAAATCAGAACACCCAATTGTCAGCGGTTTATAAACATTTCATACAGCTAAGTTAGAAATGTTCCATTCCGTAGTAAACTACAGTACTCTGTTATAATTTAAAATATTTTTTACACAACTGCTGTTGGTATTTTTACAATCGGGTGCATTATTAAGCTTTTTGCAAAACATTATGCAACTTAAACTTTTCTGCAAAAGGTGTTTCATTATGTACAAGAGCTGACAAACGGTCCTGGAATATGTATGCCTTTGTTCATAATCAAATGTCTTTTTGATTAATCCGGGCGTCTTGAAACCCAAAATGATCTAGATTAATGAGGGTTTACTGCAACACATCTTATATGAGTGTGATTTAGGGAATTATTAACTACAAACTAAATTGATTTAAATATTAGGCCTACTAACTTCATTCGTAGGCTTAAGAAGCCATAATGTCACTAAATTCACAATCTTCCGGTGAGAGATTCGTCAAATCAATATTTACAATACAGTAGAACCTCTTTAATCCAAACTAATTAAGACCGGGGGTAGTTCGGACTATTGAATAGTTCGGGTTACAGAACATATTGTTGTTTTTACATAACAATAGCTAGGGAAACGTGAAAATGCTTTATAAAGCAAAATACAGTGTCTATTTAATACAGTAGTAAACATAGGGAATAAACAGTACTGTACATTACAATTGAAATAATTACGGTGCATATATATCAATAAATACAGTATAGGCCTACAATAAAAATCTACTACAGTAGTCTACTGTTCTGTGTAGAGTACAGCAATGAGGCGTTCGGATTAGTGGACGTTCGGATTACAGGGGTTCGGATTAAAGAGGTTCTACTGTATGTGCAAAACCCAGATGTTTCGCCCACTTTTGTAATTTATGAAATATATTTCTTTCATTTTTAATGTTCTGGCAAGCACTGGTTTTTAATCTTATTGATACAATTGTCAGAGACAGTATAATGGCTGTACACAAGGCAGAATAGTGAGACATTATCTGATTATAGATATTTTTATTTTAAAAAGCTATACATTGTATTAAATTTTTTAACGTACTATGAAAGAATGAATGAATGAAAAAGTGCTTTACTGTACTTACAAAAACACTCTATACATTCACCGTTCAGTTAAAATTACACTTTAAGAACAATAAAATAACATTCTGTTCGATTGGCACTTAATTTTTATACCAACACTAAATTAAGTTAAACTACATTATCTTTAATTATTTTACCTACGACCGTTTTTTAAAGTAGCCGTTTCAGCCCGTTTATTAAAATTGAAAAGTTTCAAATAACAGCATTGTTTTCTTACATAACAGCATAGTTTTACTTAACAACATGGGTAACGGACCAATGAGGTTCAAGAATTGAGAGAGAAGAAGTAAAATTGTAATGCTTCGAACATCAACTAATCAGATATTTACCAATTTAATCGTTAACGATTGGTGCAATTATAGTCCAGAATCTATAGGGGGTTGAGTATGCACTGAAAGTGTAACTCTTTTTGACTTTTGATTGTTGTTGGGGGCATCTTGGAGATGACAAAAACCGATGTTGTCGCCCTCCCAGCAGAATTAAATTTATAGGTTTACTGGGTTCCCCCACTACCTTTTTACTTTTTTTGTAGTATATGTCAGCTGATCAGCTGGCATCTGTTATTTCAATGTTTGGGTGACATAGAGGGGATGAAATCGCTTCCCCTCAAACTGCCTATTAAGTTTTTTGAACTGTTGTTTTTTAACTATTTCTATTTGCAGTGTTTACCTTATTTTCTTTATTCTTTTATTTAGCATAAAACAATATTTAATAGAGAAATGTTATTTATTTTCTTATTTACATGGGCCAAAATGTATTTATATTTTGATTACTAATAATCACTATACTCACAACTTCTAAGAGAGGTTATATTTTCGTATATAGCCTCTCATTGCCACTAACAGTGGTACAACGACTCATTGTACCAATCACTAATAGTCCAGCATCTATAAGGGGTTGAGTATGCACTGAAAGTGTAACTCTTTTTGACTTTTGATTGTTGTTGGGGGCATCTTGGAGATGACAAAAACCGATGTTGTCGCCCTCCCAGCAGGTGCACAACTTGGGGGGGGGGAGGGGGGAAGGTGCTCTGAGACGCGTTCTATAAAATCGCTTATATCTCGTGAACTAGACACGATAGAAACAAGCTCTAAACGGCATTGTATTACCAACTTCATCTGCTTTAAAAATGTATCTTGGAAAAGTCCCGTATCTATAATATTAGTTGAGTTATTTAACAATTTATTTAAAAATTTGAATAAAAACCCCTAAATAACGTTAAACTATCCATTAAAACCCCTTTAAAACGACAAACAGTACAGTTTTTCATCGTGCATAATATGTTTAACACGCTAAAGTGACTTTATATGGTAATTATATCGAAATATATCAAGGTTATGCGAGGTTTCCGATGAAGCGGCATGGTGACGCGGATGACGCCACTGCACGGCAGAAATCAACGTGTAGTACAGACTTGTAAAAATTGGGTATGTACCGAAAGTGTAAAAACCGATGTTGTCGCCATTCCAGCAGGTGCACAACTTAGGGGGGGGGGGGGGATTAGCGCTGAGGCGCGTTCTAGAACATCGCTCATATCTCGTGAACTAGACACGATAGAAACATGTTTTAAACGGCTTTGTATTACAAACCTCATCCGCTTTAATTATTTTACAATGAAAAATCCCATACCAATGATAATAATTGAGTTATTTAACATTTTATTAGAAATTACAAATTTAAAGTAAAAATGCCGTTTATCTACCTATATAACTCTCATAAAACAATGAATAGTACTGTGTTTGGAGTGCATTACCAAAGAAAATGCTTCAGTTTGAAATGTATACGGTTTTTATTAAAAGAATATTAAAATAGACTTGGGAATGCTGTACAGTACAGCATTTCCAAGTCTATTTTAATATTCTTTTAATAATACCCCCGCCGCAGCAAACCTGCAGACTAAGCGAATTTCCATTAGCCTTATAGGATTTCACATTAAAATGCCTCCTTAAAAATATCATATTTATTCCCTATTTAAATAGAATTAGTTTAACGAGTACTTAGGTTTGCTGCAACAGGGAGGGTAAAAAGGTGTTTTTTTAATGTTAATAGTTTAGTAAGAAATAAATGTATTTTCCAAATTCGATCAAAATATGTTCATAAACAAGTAAACTACAACAGTTGACTTATTCTCCATAAGAATAACATGGGGATTTTAAATTTAAAATTTTTTGGAATTTTCTCTGTAACCATTAGGCGCACTGTTCTATTTCTAATCCAAGAATATTAAACACACATCTTGTTTCAACAAACTCTATTTCAAACTAAACCAATGTTTACAAAAACATGTTTACCAAAAATCATCTGTCAACAAAAGATATTTAAACACAAATAAATCATATGACTAAAAGAACAGACTTAATACAACATCCCGCCTCAAGATGTCTACATCTTCATGAAGCTCAGTACCGCCTCGGTATCTTGATGGACCTTCCGTAACGGGTAACTGTGCCAGCGCCTGGACGATCACGTGAGTTAGGTGGACAATTAAGGACCGTAGATGGACAGTTTGAAAGAATACAATCTTCTCCGTAGTATGGTGCAGGAACTAAGAACTTCCGGTTTCGCCGAATGGTTCTCTTGTCAGTGTCCACAAGGTAGGAACGTGGTTCGTTCAATTTCTTGACTATTTTACCATGTCTACGTAAATCTGTGATCCATACCATGCTTCCAGCTTCTAATTCACTTAAACCACTCGCTCCATTTTTTTTATCAAATTGCATTTTATACTTCGACTGGTACTTATTCTCCCTCTGAAAAAAGTCTTTATTTTCCACAGGATTTCCAACCAAAGTAGATGGAAGATTGTCTCTTATTTTCCTTCCAAACATAAGTTCTGGAATCAATGGTTCACTGTGTTTAGTTGAGTTCTGAATACACACTGGACACGATTTGATTTTTCTTTCTATTTCTTGAGAGATTCCAGGCCACCACATGGTTCCCAAAGCACGTTTCCTTGTTTTTGTGATTCCCAAGTGTCCACTGTGAAGCCTCTCGAGCATTTCCGCTCGTAGTTCTTGAGGTATTATCATCCGAGTTCCTCGAAGCAATAACCCATCAATACAACTTAA